ACCATTAGCTGAATTTCGTCGTGAACTTAATATACTTGAACCTCCGCCTAAAATCTAATTATACCAGATATAATTGTTATCCCTGCTAGTCTGCACTTGTCAATTACAAGATTTGATAGAAGTCTTCAATAAAAAAAATTGTTTTTTTTTAACAAATAGACACAGTTGAAAGTATTAGGAATTCTACCGCACCAATGAAATTATTTGACTATAGAATTTTAGTAATAAGTAAACTTATATTTGGAACCAATACCAGATTGACCAGTTTTCGCTAGTAGCTAAAGACATGCATAGTTTTAATGATCAAGATATATTTTATATAATGAAAGGTTTGTACTATCCTGAATAAATTTATTATGCTTACAAGAAGTTAAAGATTTCGTTCTTTTGTCAAAATCTTGCCAAATACTAACATGATACGACGGTGAAAATATTTAGATAGTAAGAATTCTAGTCAACCAAAGCATAGTATAAATATTAATCACTGTGAGTTACTAGATGAAACGTGACATACTAAAATAAGAGTTGTTACTATTACAAACTCCAAGGGTTGTATGAGTTCTATATTGTTTGTCTTCGTAGAACTGTTTGTTTAAATGATATATTAAGCACACCAATTTTTCGTCAGTTAAGTCAAGAGTCTCAACTGACCGCTTCCAAATATAAATAAAACTTATAAATATCGTACTAAAATTGGCTTATCTTATCTAAATTTTGAATCATATTTTTATGCATCTTATCAATCGATTATTCTTTTATTATTTCTAGATATTTTTATATTTTCAACTTTTATAAATTCAATATTTTCTAATATCTTGTTGACTGCTACATACACAATTAATGAATGGCTATGTTTTGTACTTCATCATCCAAAATATTTTATTAGGAAAAAAGACAAAATACACCATAAGATGCAGTATATAGGTACATCAAAGAAACTTATCGAATATATGCATATTTTATTTTTGAAATAGACAATATTTTGCTCAACTAATTCTAGAAGTTGCACACAAGATGGTTTATTTTGAGTGCTTAAGTCATACTCTTCAACATAATATATTATTATTTATAAAATTCTCTTCACACCAATTCCAATGATTTTGTATATTTATATTGCGTGCTGTTGTTCTATTGACATCATCGTCTAATGCTCGTTTACCTGCAGATTGCGCATATGAAAGAACAACTGTAATATAATTTTAATGCAAAGAAAAAAAAAGAATGTTTCATCGGATTAAAATATAATTGAAGATGTAGGACCATGTTTAGAAGCATTTAACCATATCATAATTCTCTTAAGATATTTAGTCTTTTAGTTTCTGCTCCGTTGTTCAATTATTTCCTGTCGACTAGTCATATGAACACATTCTAATGAAAAGAAGGTTTTTTTTTTGTTGATGGATTAAATTTCCTTTGATCAATGATATTAAAAAAAAAATGATTTTGTTTGCAGAAAAGTTTTGAAAACAAAAGATACATAATTTCAATAATTTTTTCTTTACAAATTGTTAACCCATGTCGCTTGTTTTGTTCCTACTACCACCGACATACCGGTCGGAAAATACCTATAGTAACACAGTCATAGAATAATGGTTTGAGGGATAGACAACAGTTTTAGTTCGTTTTAGATTACATGAGAACCTTTTCATGCTACATCTTATGATATATTTTATTTTTATAATTCCTATCTAGTAAATATATCAATAGTTATTCGATCATCACATATATTATTGAAAAGTTCGAAGCAACTGGAAATTTAATAATTACATTAATTGTTTTGTCTTTTTATCGTGTATTTATTCTTGTATATATATATACATGTATATATCTGTCATATTCGTTGTCCTTCGAGAAACAAAAAAAAGGAAAAAAAAACGAGAACTTTTTCTACTATGAGTAGATGATGATGATGTATTTTGCTTTCTTTGTTTCAGATTGGTTATGACAAACATCGTCGTCGATTTTTCTTCTTTCCATTGCTATGCTTTCAATCGATCACTTGCTTTGCCTCTCGCCTGCCGGTTTCTTATCTTAACGATACTGCCGTGTGTTTGACACTCGTGCGCATGCTTGATGCCGAATGTCGTTTACATATTCCCCTTTTTTTCTCTCTTTATACATCTATATATAGATAGATAGATAGATTTATGTGTATATTTCTAAGAATCATCATCCACCGGTCTCGATGACAAATCAACGAATAAGCTAGAAACCACATATCTTTCTTCTTGTTGTTGTGTGCATATATTGCTTGATGTCTGTCAGTCAGTCAATCCGCTCATTGAATGCAAATAAGCTTGGGTAGGTTAGAATGAACATTGTGGATGAATATTTGACATTTTCATCATCTTGTCATATATACACTCACGATTTTTTTCCTCTTGTTCGACCTGTTTTGATGAACACTTATTTACGTATATATCAATTTTGACAGCATCAGCTGTCAATAGAAAAGGTAAACAAATAGAATACAAGAAAAAAGAAAAAGAAAAGGAACTTCTTTATTATATATTGATAATTCTCCTTTTAGATTAAATCGTCTGTTATTATTTAGTTCTTTATGTCACAATCATTTCTTATGTCTTATAATTTTTGTATATATGCGTGCGTGTGTCG